CCAGGACAAAAGAGAGAGATATCAGATCTGCTAAGGAAAAGCTAACTCATGCCACTGGGCATGCCATCTCTGCACACTAACTTAGTTTTGGCTTCTCTTTAAATGCCCAAATTTGACACCATAAAGCTTTGTAGGCCTCACCACATCTTATAGAATTTCCCTTAAGTTTGAGAGAGTACATTTCTATCACACACAAGCTCGATACATTACTCCACTTTAACCATCCAATTGAATTTCTGTTGATAATATCCATCTAGTTCACCATCACTTTGAACATAGATCCAAGATATCTAAAACGTGTACTCTTATAATGACTTTAATCGCTCAAAGTCAGAACAAGTGGTAGGGAAAAAATAAAATAAAAAATGGTAGGAAATAAGTGGTTGCAGATATAATGAACTAGTATGAGTAGATACAATCTCCAATTAGGCTTCATAGAAGTGAAATGATTATAATTTACTAAGACTCGATTTTGAGTTAGAAAAACTTAGATCGAATTTTTGTGATAGTTTTGAATATAATCTATTTTTAAAAAAATATTTTTAATCAGTAATTTCAACGTGTAATTTATATATTATTATATATTATATATATATATATATATATATATATATATATATATATATAGAGAGAGAGAGAGAGAGAGAGAGAGAGAGAGAGAGAGAGAGTAATTTTTTTTGCAAATCTTTCATCCTTTGTAAACTTCGTTGGAATATGATTTTAAAATAAAAGATAATCTTAAAATTTTCTTAAAAAGTTATTTTAAAATCTATGATAAAAGATGAATGCTATAAAAAATTTGAGTTCTTTCTAAAGGGTAATAGACATGCTGAATTAATTTTTAAGTAGAATTAAATTTTGTTTTGAGTGGATTATCTTGAGTTTGAATAGCTGGAAGCCATAGTTGAGAGTTGGTTTCAAATTTGGGCATAATACACACTATAGTCCACCTGCTAGAGTTGGTGGCATCCATTGAAGCCTTTAGGCTATGCATGTGATGAGCAATTTTTAAATTGCTTTCATTGATGACGACATATCCGAGAGAACATGGTCCAAGCATTAAAAAAGGAATGGCTAAGACTTGTGTGTAAAATGTAATATCATTTAACTACACACAATTTAAGATTTCAAAAATATATAAAATTTTAATATAATAGTTGTTGTGGACTGGAATATACGCGGCGATAGAGTTAGAAAGTTTTCGTCTCAACGTTGTACAGATATCCAGCACACAAACATGAGAGAAATAAAAACACCAGGATTTTTACGCGGAAAACCCTCGAAAGGGAAAAATCCACGGGGCCACACCTAGTTGAAATAATTCCGCTAGTGTTTGCTTGAGATACAAGACGCTGTCTCGTCCTTGAAATTTAGGACCATAAGATTACAATGATTCACTTTCGGATTGAAATTCTGTTACAAACAATAATTTGTGATTCGATGATGTTGGGTATTCGAGTTGAATCCCAAAGTCATATGGAGATCGAGCAAAATTCCGATGTCACTTAGGCTGAGTTTCAGCATCGGGCAGAACTCCAGTGTTGCTTGGGAAGAATTTTGACGTCCCGTGGAAGTCGGGAAGAATTCCGGCATCCCGTGGAAGTCGGGCAGAATTCTGGCATCACTTGGAAGTCAGGCAGAATTCTTGGCGGTGGTCGAGGAGGAGTTTCTTCCCTCCTATCCTTCTTCTCTTCTCTTCTCCTTCTTCTCTTCTTCTTCTTGCTTTGGTCCCCTCCCAAGAGAAATGAGGGGCTATTTATTATTTTTTGAGGATGGCATGAACCGTAAATAGGAGGATGATCAAGGGCAAAGGTGCAGTGGTTCGGATGGACGGTCGATATTGAATCCCTTGATCGTGGACAGTTTGTCAGACATTTGAAGGTCTTAACGATATCGAAATTTGATGATCTTAGGCTTGTTGGATTCGTCTCGTCGAGCCGCTTGATTCGACTATAAGCATGTCATGTTTGAAAACCTTTTGGTAATCCAAATTGTGGTTTGAATCTTTTAATAGTGCTTCGGGTCTTTGATTCAGACTCATTTGGGCTCAGATCGAGTTGAATTTCATGTTGTTGGGTTTGTTTTTCCGAGACGCTCAGTTTGATTATAAGTTTGCCGAAATTAGAGTTCAAGTTGTCCTAGATTTAATTTTTGAATTTTCCAATTTGATTTTGCCTCGAGATTTGTGCCTGATCAAGATAATTTTTTGATGATATATAAATAGTATTGCAATGTTATTAATAATTAGGGGAGACTAAGTAGCCTAGAAGATGTACATTAATCATCAATAAGCATCAAATACTATCAACGATGAATATTGGAGGTTAAACAATGTCGAGTGGTCAATTAGTTCTGCATATAATATGGAAAACCATACAAAGTAATTGAGAATAGTGGGCAATATATATTGATATTTGGCAGGCATCAACTGACTGTTGACAATGAATGTTTGAGGTCAGGCAATTAACATTATCATTTCTTTTATAATAGTGGAAATCGAACAACCATAAAAACGGAGATTGGCTGTCAGTGGTTTGTAGGTGTTAGGCCTCAATGACAACACATACATCAGTGGGTGTTAGGTGATGTTCGATGAGGAACATTAGAAGTTAAGTGATATTTTGCAATAAACTCAATCACACTCAAATAAAGGGAGATTGAGCAATTAGAAAGATAAATGCCAGACACAAGTAATTGGTAAACATTAGGTGTCAGACCATGGTGAGTGTTGGGGGACAATTAACAATTGTGAGCTCAAAAAGTTCATATCCCAACCTCCCTGTGCTTTTTCGATAAGATTTTAACAAATAAATGGTTTGATTATCTTTGTTAGTAGCCATGGGTTGTTTCTTCTAAGGATATCACGAAGACTTTGGGTGAATATTTTTCTAAGTATACAAATTTGAGTTATCCTTAACTAAAAAAAGGCTTTGTTCCCTATCAAGTTTATCATATGATTCATTACTTAATGATTTTGAGCTATTTGGGGAACATGGGCTCTAGTTGTGATCGTAATTTAGTGGTATCATTTGAGAAAAACCAATCGGTCAAAGACCCTTGGTTATAATCATTCGTGTGATGCTATTTGATAGCAAAACAAATAGTTAGAGAACACGTGCAATATCTTTATTAGTGAGAGTTTGTTTGAAAATGAATCTTAGTGATATACTCAACAAAACATTTGCACTTTGCGAACTAAGGTTATACTTAAATTTATCATCATCGCTGATTGTTGTGAATGGAGGATGGATTTTGCTTTAAGTCTCATGTGATTAATTTTACTTTAAATATTTAGCTTTTAGTAAATATTGATTTTTTAAAAATTTTATCAAAATATAAGCCCCAAATAAGCTATGTCATAATTTGATGGTTTTTTTTTTTTTTGAAAATTAAGCAATTCCCTTTGGTTAAGTTTTTTTGTCAATATGCCCATCGTCGAGGTTATTAGATAATTTTATTTTGTTCTTCTAATGTCGTTGACTCCTTTTGCTTGACAATAGAGGATCAAGTTCAACTAATGATTTCATGAATGATTATACAAATTTTGAAATCGAGAAGTTATATTTTATGATGATTTTTTTTCAAGAGTTTTTGACGGGCTAACTAAATCAAATATCTCGTTATGCTTTACAATTGTATATTCCCTTATAAATTCAAGTTTCTTTGATTCTAGTTCTTTCAAGGAGGAGGATTGTACTTGAAATTTCAAAATTCACTTTAATTTTAGTCGGCATAATATTCTTGGAAACACTCTATGTTGAAGCACATGCAAGAGTTTAATTTAAAAATAAGACTTTAGTTTAACTCACTTTTTAATCCTACACAAAATTCTCAAATATTTCTGTTTGTATGATTAACACCTTTGTAAGAACACATGTAAGAAATTAAATTTCTTTTTAAATGACATGTAAACTTTTTAATGCATTTTCATAATACACTTGTACATTTCATAATACAGTTGCATAGTACAGTCAAGTACTTTAATTATGTTGGCATATTTTTTGATGCATTCAAAGTATATACTGTTGACCTTACTTTTCACTTGACTACAGTCAAGAGGGTTGACTTGGTCAAATTGTCCAAGCAAGACCCTAGGACTACTTTTAATGGGTTCAGTGA